CAAGTCAGTTTTAATCTTATATAGCCTAACTCATAAATCAGACAGTAATTTCAGTCATTCATGCCTAGACGCCGCCCCCCAGGCAAGCTGTTATACTAACTAGCTCACCCTTCAAAACCTGCTATACTCAGCGGTACCCAAGATTTTTAATGCTGAGCAAGACGCAGTCATTTTTTAGTGTAACTTCATAAATATGCAGACTTTCTCCTTCCTTCTGTATTACCATTTAGCATGAACGTCACCCCCTGGGTTCATTAAAGTTTTGTTTGCTTTCAAAATTTCAGGCCGCTGGATTCAACACCCCCGTGTAAGGCCACTTCCCTATCGCTTCATCTGCTCTAAAAGTCCATTCGTTTTACACGGTAACATCTGTTCTTTGTGATGGATGGGCTGCCATATTTTGTTCGTCCCAACATTTTGTTGTGGAGTTTTACCCAAAATCCATATGTTACATTTTGTATTCCTGATTATAATGTCAATATATGAGATCTCTATTCTGCAATGTAATGCAAAACAACAGTTTAAACAGTATGATATACTCGTCGACCAAATACCTATTGGTTGTACAATGTATGAAACTTCATTTTTTTTGTCCCTCTGTCTATAGATCACTGTGAAATAAATTTGTGTTATACCGCGGTTTGTTGTTGCTTTTCAAATAATAAAGCACCCATAAAATCGGGACCGAATGTGCGGTTTTAAAAGTTTTTGTTGACAAAGAAGGCTGCATAACCAAAAAATTATTACCTACACACACAATATGTATTGTCTTAGCTAAATTCCATTCATGGGTCTGCAAAATCAGTATTTGTTGAATCCAAAGCAGCTCTGCCTCCAAAAACTGTGTGTAATTAATTTAGTAAAAGGTACTATATTAACAAATGCACAGTTCCTTTATCGTTAGCCCTGGTACTTGGTATACATCTGCATCACAGTAAGCTAACTTCTGTAAAACATGTAAAAAGGTGTAAATAACCTGACAAGGGGCCTTTTTTATTAGTTAGATCAGAAGGGTTGAGTAGAGTTGGAGGCCAATTTGAAGATGAAAACATACAATACTTTAAGCTTTGACAAACAAACTACTTACCGGCTGTGCGTAAGTAGAGGCAGGAGTTGCTGCTGGTGGAGTACAGGCAATACCAGTTGGTGTAATAGAAACCTTCACGGTCAATCCACATCCAGCGGCCCTGAGAGACAAAGAGTGTAAGGAAGAATTGTCTTAGTCTCTTTATTTGCTCTTATATGAATCTGGTCTAGACCCCTTTGGACCAGGTCCTGGACTGACTGAGGTTGTTTTACTTCATAAATTCAGACCTGGAGGTTAAAGCCTCCCAGCCATGCGATGCTCTGACCGGCTGCCTGTGTGAGCTGCTGCAGGAAGCTGTACTCTCTGGGGTTGGTGGCTGAGGCCAGGTGGGCACCCAGGCTGTTGCAGTGCTCCTGTTGGACAGAGGATAATTATTAAACTTTAAAAAACTCCTAGAAAATATCCTCATGTTCTGTGTGAACATAAAGATCAGGGACTAACCTACTAACAGATACCATCACCATTCAGAGGCTTTAGCCATCCGTGTTGTAGAACATGTTGCATTCATCATGTACCGATGGTAAGTTCTGAAATATCTTAACTGAATGAATAAAGGCTATCAGATGTTCACAAGTTTACTGAGGCTGACTGTTCACAATAACAGGATACAGACGTTACAGTACCTCAGCACTGTACCAGGACAAGGGAGTATTGATGAACTTGAAGCAGCGAGAGCCCTGGCTGAACCATCCGTCAGGACAGAAGTTATAACGGGCTACAGAGAGACAGAAGAGAGACAGCATTGACTTTACTTCAACTGAACACTTTACCTGAAACACACTGATAATCATGAATGAACATAAATAGTGAGGTGGCTCTTACATTCAGAGGTGCTGCTGCCTCCTCAAACACATGTGCTGCACAAACACAGAGAAACCAGTCAACAATATGTACAGGTGTAGCAGCTATGTATTATAAGATACTGCAATATTGTTAAGAGTGACGTGTGTCCTTTCTGATTACCGTTTCTGGGAACAAGGACCGAATCTTCTGGCACAAATATTTCCTCATCTTTCATCATCTTGTCCTCCATCTCTGAAACATCAATTGCTTCATCAGACCTCTTTTTAGTTGAGAGTGTTTGACTGTACAGTATATCACAACTGCACGTCATATTTATCTTCAATTAGTTATTCATATCAATTAATCCAAACAACTTAAAACAAGGAACTGGCAGTCCTAAACTTCCTTTATCAATTCATTGAAGCCAAACACCTGGTTCTGTTGTTCTAACACACTTTAAAGAGGACACTAACCAGGTGCAGAAGCCATCTGTTCCTTCGGAGCCTCCACTGCTGCTTCTGTGGATGAACCACATTAATGTTGGTGTCAGATAGATACAGCTCTGACTATCTGTCTGTGTGTAAATGAAAGCAAAGGGACTTCAGTACTGACCTTTAGTCTGTTCTTGCTCTTCAACTGGAGCTGCAGAGAGAAACACAGCCCGTCAGTAACAGCAGTGCAATAGTGTCTTTACAACAGAGTGCACAAGTACCACACTATGGTAGAGGCTTGCTGGCTGACTCATGAGCACATGGATGATAGTGTGTGTGTTCTGTCTAAATGTTCTATGTTGAATCTGACCTGCAAATGCAGCACAGAGGAGAACAGAGAGGACCAGGACAGTCTTCATGGTGATGATCAACAGATTGTTCTGTGTGGAGAAAGAAGAACCACCAATAAACATACAGAGAGAGAGAGCAGAACCAGGAGCTCCACTGAGAGAAGAGAACTGCAGCAGGGGTCTTACCTGTCAGGTAAATGTGAGGTGTTGTTCAGGTATCAGCTGAGTGATGCAGTGATGACGGGAGGCCACCCTGCTCTTTATATACACACCTGAACCACAACGGTCACTCAATTGTGGCCGTGTGCTGGCAGAAAGTGCGATTTTATCGACTCCTGTGTTGCGGGAAGATGATTGCAGCATGCACATAAGGATCTGAACTCTGATCTGTTACTCTGATCTGTTTCCTGACAGCCCGTAAACAGTGTGCAAAAACCACTCTCTTGTTGGTTGTGGATTCAGATCAGGTTAATGGTTAAAGAAAGATTTAAAAAAACATTAATATTCCAGCAGCTGGGGCACCAAAAAAAAACTATAAAAAGTATAAAAAGATAACGAAACTATTAAAAACTATAGTAATTTCCTTTCATTAAAATACGTGTGTGTCATGTCGGAAAGAATATGTCCCCCTGTCAGTCTTATATTACAATACATGATATTATGGGAGCAAACATTTTATAATCTACTTGTGGTATCTATCACTGTGTACATGCTGTAGCTGCTGCTTCTGTTCCACTAGCGTCTGTAAATCGTGTAATTCCATTCCTGAAATGACTTTGGACAGAAAAGAACCTTCCAAATGAATGCATTGCAGAGGATGTTTGACATGTGAGGGCCTTGTTGGAAATCAGTTTTGTTAGAGCTGAGGTATCATCATCGGAAAAACGTCCAAATTAACCCTTCAGCATATTGTTATTCAAGCCTCTTGGCTCTGTTTTCAGGCTTTGGAAAATCCAACCCTTGATGGAGACGTTGGCCAATCACAGTCATTTCAGAGGAAACAGTTCCTATTGGCTGTTATACAAATGCAGCTAGGTCGAAAGTTTTCCCATACCTCCTTCTACTAAAACGACACGCAAAACAGGTGTGTGAACTCATACTGAGCTTCAGGTTCATTTATGTTCCATCCCACAGTCCTCAGTTCAATTTCAATTTCAGTTCACTTTTATTTGTATATGCGCCAAATTGGCTGGCTGGTGGTTGTACAGTTGAGTCCTTCTGCTGCTGAAGACTCACATGCTGAGGATTATTTTCACTTGTTGAAAATACTTAACCAACTCAAACACAACAGGTTTTAGTGTATAGCTTTAAGCTGAAACTGAAATGACACTCACAAATAAGTGATTGATGAGTTATTGACATTAGCTCTGCTCTTCCAAACTGTTTCCTCATAATGGTCAGGCCTTGAATAAAGTCATCATGTGAGGCCATGTCATTCCTTCCCATCAGTAATTACATATGTAAACTGTGTCCACATCTGAAGGATTCATAGTGGATAAAGAAAGTCTAAAGGTCTGTTTATCATTCCCTGTAGTCTCCAGTAGATACTCATAGAGAACACTTTCATGTCACTGCCCCAAACAGGGAGCAAGATCCTACTTAATTCATACTTATGCAATTATTATGTTTTATTGTCTGTTTCAAAATGGGTATACAGCCATTTATGACTTTAAAGACTCTTTAAAGACTACGTAAATGTTACTTGATGCTGGAATGTTACTTTTCTATGATCTGAATTCCCTGGGGTCACTGTGTAAAGAGATGGTCTTCTTTGCCAGTGTGTCTGTGGGGGAGTGCTGAGGTGCTGAAGATGAATATTCTCAGAACATAGTCATTCATCATGTCTGTCTTTGGCCATGAAATTTCCTTCAAGTTGGTTTAAGAAGATTCAATCTTTGTTCTCATCCTTTCTGAGGTAATAAGTAAAAGTGTAATAAGAAATCTAAAATAAGCTTAACTTAATAACTTTGAATGCCAAGAAATACAGGTCATATATTTACCCATATTTATTGTATAACAGCAGATACCCTATTGCACGAAGTTATGGTATAAGTCTGTGCTACCCAAAGTAGGGCCTGTGGACCAAGGTTGGCCCACCATAAAGTTTGATTTGGCCCACCAGACGGAAAACGGAAAACAAATTAGTTATGAAAAATCACTGTTCATGATATTGTATTTTTTAGGAGGTAAACATGCTCTTCAAATATGTGGGATCTCAATTTTTTTATTATTTTTCATAGTTTAAGGTGGCAGGCCTTGAATAAAGAGAGTGACACTGTGCAGGAAGTCAGTCAACTAGGAGAACTTGGGATTCCAGTACCATTTTGCATCATAACAACTGAGTAAATTGACACTAATGCACAATGAATCCAAACAGTGAACACAATAACTGTGGGAAGTTTGCATAAAACCAGAGGTTTAGGTGAATTTAGAGAGATAAGTTATTTTAACTCAGATTGTTGAAATAGTTTTTTTATTTTAATCAGTCGTTTCAATCAATTACAGATACATGATGAAAAATTATTTTTGAACTTACTTAAAATTGAGTTTGTTTTACGTAAAAAAATTACGTTTGTTTTACGTAAAAAATTTGAGTTTTAACAATTTTTTAGTTTAATGAACTTATCTGGTTTTACAGTGTAATATAAACTTAAAAACTAACAGTTGCATTTAGTTTTCTTCACAGAAATGAATGAAATGTTGAGTTTTGGACTACTGTGTATATTTTCTAAGTTTCTAGTACGCTTTAAAATCAAGAAGGCCTTGCAACCCTCTTTGAAGTGTCCAGCTCGAGCTCGGTCAGACGTTACAAACTTAAATATGCGTTAACATCTCAGCCACATTTTATATTGTAGCTGAGCCTGATTATGCCTTTACTGGTGGTCAGTTAAATGTTAACGTATTGTTTGTTTCAATTGTAAAACTTAACTATGAACTGCAGTTACAGTGGGATAAAATTATATGATGTTGTTTCCTCATTCTGATTCTGATTTATGATTGAGGGTTAGAGGGTGTGGTGGAGTTTTGGGAGAGTTCTGAACTCTGACTGAAAGAGATAACACAATTAGTGTGGAGGAAAAGAAAAGGTTAAAGATTTACTGTCATGAAGTGGGTGCATGGCTTCCAAAATAAGGGAATTTTTGGGTGGCCTAATACCACGACTGGTCATATTCTCCATAGAATACATCCTTGCAGTAGGTCAAGGACGAGAGATAAAGTAGAGAAATAATGTCTGACACCCTGGAACCACTGACATATAAAAGATGGAGGTTGCGTCTCCACTTCCTCCCACTATACAAAGACAAAAATGCCAAAATATCCCGAATATGGATGTTGCCATCTTGCGCTGGTGATGTCATCACCACTTCACAGAGCAACGGCACATGTAAATATAGTAGATTTATTATTATTATTAACTTATTTATTAATTATTTTTAAGTTTTCACTACGTTATTGAAACAATTATCATTCAAGTTCAAACATCTTGTGTATTCAGTCTAAAATGACAAAACACAGCAGGAGGACTAAAAGTTGTAATAAAAAACTTATAGCTTATAATGAATTTTTTTATTTTATTTTACATTCAGCTAAAGAAGAAATGTATTGTTTGATAGGGACAGTTAGCTGTGAAAAGTTGAATTTGGATTTGTAAATATACAATTTGGTGACAGTAATAAGCAGATTCATTAAATAGAAGTGTAAATAGATTACATCATATTCAGTGAAATCCAAGCGATACATTTCTCCAAAGTAATATACAGTAAGCACACATGATCAGCAACAAATGGTGATAATTTAAGCAAGACCTTAACAAATGTAGCAGCTTTCCTTGAGCTCTCCATGAATGGGTTTCTGTGGCTTTGTTAGTGGGGAGGTTAGAAACGCTCAATGAGACCTACCGTGTTATGTTGACGTTCTCCTGTAGCCACAGCGCACCCTGTGGGTCAAGAGTGCGCGCTGTTTGAGGCTATTTTGCCTGACAAAGTAATACATTAAAGCGGCAGAACACAGGGCACAACATAGCATTCATGACTACACGACTCCTCGGGAACTCTTGCAGTTTGGGAGGAAGAAATAAATGGTTTAATGTTGGACAGTGTTTCACTGTTCTTTTTTTAATAAAAACTCAACGATTTACGCAACGAGTTAACTTGTAATGAAATGTGATGTGTGATTGCAGTGTACTTGTCTTTCCCACCAGGTGGCAGCATTGTTTGCAAATTGCCAAGAAACAAGCAGGCAGAATCAGAGGGTGTCAGTGGGTTCAGTTATTTTTAAAGAGCACTATGAATACAGTTTAGGACCTAAAAGAGGCTGAAAAATACAACTTTCTAACTACTAACTTTATACAAGTACTGTTAACTTCATTAATGAACAATCAAATTCTGGGTTATCTTAGTACTGAACAGATAGATGCCTTAAAATTGTACTTCAAATTTAGTTTCCACTACTGGACAAAATAAATGAAGTTTACTGTTGTTACTGTTGTCACTGCTCATTGTCCCCCATCGTTGTCGTCATCTTCTTCATGTTCATCATCATCAGTCACTACTATTAGTGTAGTTGTTGCTACTGTTGTTGCTGTGGCACCTATCTGTCTGTCTCTCTCTCTCTCACTAGCTCACCCCAACTGGTCTGGAGGAACAAGACGACCACCCACCTTAGAGCCGGAAGGGTCTGTCGAGCGTTTCTGCCTGTTAAAAAGGCAGTTTTTCCTGCCCCCCGTCGCAAGGTCTTGCTCATGGTGTACTGTTGGGTCTCTGTAAATGCGTTATAAGGAGTTCGGGTTCTAGACCTGCTCTGATTTGAAGAAGTTCGCTGAGATAACTTCTGTTATGAATTGGCACTACACAAATAAAATTGAATTGAATTGAATTGGTAATATGTTAGTTATATATGATACAATAGAAGCTGAACGCACACAATATCATTAAGTTGTTCAAGATGGACAATATTTCTTACCCACAAATGTAAGTATTCCTCGTATTATCCACTATGGCTGCCGATTGGTTCTGTTTTAATTCAGTACCAATGGATTCTTACAAATTTCACCATTAGGAGCACTTAAGGAGGAGCCAGAGGAGCCTGATTGTTTCACAGATTGATCTGTCTCATGTTGTACTGTCAGGATAGAGTTGAAAGGTTTCAGGGCAAATAGTGACATGGAATTGTTTTTATAAAAATGACCTACCTGCAGCTTTAAACCATATTTTCTCTGGTTTCTTGAGTGAAAACCTGTAGATGTGTGAGTGCTCTCAATCAGTCATTTTAAAAAAGAGCAAAACTAAGAAAACATTAATTGAATCCCAGAATGCCCAATGGGGTACAACATCATGATTACGAAGGCAAAAATATAAATAAGGAGATGTCGAGGCTCTATGTATCTCTTATTACGACGTTCCTTACATGAGGCCCATTAAGTTACGGTTTAATGAATCAACGATCCACCATAAGTGACAAACACCAGTGAGAACATAGTTGGGTTAAAAAACACAAACAACTGTGATTAAGGCTGATAGAAGCACAGTCGTTCGATGAACATAACTGCACGTCCACTATCGTGCATAGCACTTGACGCGAGGAAAAAAATGTTATTCTCCGGACCTCTCAGAGGAGCAGTTATCTCACAGTTATCACATTCCTCTATTATGCACAATTGAAGCATTCATACGAAACTGACACTCCTTGGCTCACACTATCCTGCACAGGATAGGGCTTTTTTATCCGATTACACATACCTCCAGTGCTTTTTACCTTTCCATATACAGAGGGGAATTCGGTTCCGTCACAATAAGCTTGGGAATGCCATGGTCCCGCGCATTTTAGTGCTCAGGATTGCCCGGTTCCACCGTTACCTAACAGTGGACACATTAACTGTAACGCCCCTCACATGCTGCTAAGGCTAGGTGCGTGCAACGAACCCGTGGCTGTCTTTCCGTTCTCTCCGTTCAACAAAGAACTTGCTCAACTTGAAGAACTCTCATCTGTGCATGATGTCTGGATAAGATGACGTTGGCACAGCTTGTCAGTCCGGGCACTTCTATTTCAACACTCTCTCTGGCGCCTGCCAGGATGGGCGTGGGGGGCAGGCAACTCAAACACAGTTCAGCTTCTATGGGGATTGGTCGGCCTGAATACCCCCCGCACAGTGCGTCATCTCAGCCCAAGGCGCTCCACTTGTATATGTCGCGAGCATCACGTGCGAATTGCCAACACCGAGTCTCACAAGTGGGCCTGCAGAAGAGTCCCCAGGCCGGTTGGATGAGAAGGAGGCTGGATTCTATAGCCAAGAAAGTCCATAGCGACGGGTGGGAGATCTACTAAACCCATATCTATTACCCATAATAACCCAATTGGTATTAGTCTCAAAAACACCATACTGCTCGGGTCACCTCGCATCTCTCATATTAGGATGGTAAATTTGTTATATTATGTCAATAATTATATTACTTACCTGGTAGTATCAAATGATGCCCGAAACTTGCAACTATATATATATACACCAAACTTCCTTTATACACAAAGATAAAAAATGTGTGTGGACATTGATTTCGCTTATTCTCGTCCAACCTTTCTAGTCACTCTTCCACTACTTCAGAACTTTAGATGTTCTCAAACTCATCAAAAGCAATCTCGACAATCATAAGCACATCTATCGATAACGAGACCTATTTCAGAAAAAAGAAGCGAAAAATTTAAATCGAACTATGCATAAGGGTATATTGTAAGACTTTCATCCCCATGCCTTGCTGCTCATAGTAATTCGCGCATGCACGTGCTTATACTGTCTCGATGTGTGCAGCAACCGGTCTCTACCTACTAATACTCTCCGAGGCTGTGTGAGCAGAACTTGTCATTGTGAGGGTTGTGGAACATATGACTCTCTTCGCTCCTACAATCCAGAGTGCGTTCTGGACTAGGTGCTGTTCTCCACACTATGTAGCTAACTCATAGTTACTAACATATATTTGTTGGGCTGCTTTGTAGTCTCTTCGTCACCCTGTTCTCCTCCGGGGATCTTCTGGGGATTAGTATGTTCAATTTTAGTGTTGTTGTATGATATAGGCTAGTGGTTGATATATATATGTATATATATATGTGGCGTGTGTATTAGATATATAGTTTTAATTAAAAATTATTAAATTATTTATTTATTGCGTTAGAAGTCGTTCTTGTTGTCTCTTGTTGTGCTCTTTGATGTCTCGAGAACCATTTCACATTTAATATTTAGATGGAAAATGTTTATTGTAATGTCTTGATCTTCGCACATGGGGTTCCTTGCGAAGGTAATTGACAGAGAAAAAAGTAAATTGTATTGGCACTGAAGCTCAAGTGCATACTGGTACAATTTCAAAAAATAGGATACCGTAAAACAGAGACTACCTGTCTCAGATGTAGAAACGATACATTTTGTAAAAGTGACTGTACTTTCACACCGATGCACAGGTTCAGTATCCTTGCTTAAGGACACTTGCAGCAGGAGGATCCACCACCTTCTGATAAGTTGGATGGCCCCAGAGGTGTCTAGCACTCGGAGCCACAGCTGCCAGACAGCTAGATTAGATATCTATGTAAAGCATTTGTGATATTCATTAGAAACTGGGTGGCAGTAAATGGGCTAAATTGTACAAGCACACTACTGGGTGCCCTGTGTAGACAAGTGCTTTAAAACTTATGGAGCAAGGAACCTTTCTGCACACGTAGCATTGATTTCCACAGGAGTGAAGCGACACAGGAATAAAGGAGAGATCTGAGCCTCCTTAGACACGTTGATTGACATAGAAAGCACTTGGCCTGGATGAACCTTTTCTTCCATGAGTTTCAGTAGAGCCATATCAGATCCTCCAGGGCACCGTCCAGCTTTGTCCCTGCCGGGACATCCACGCCCAGAATTTTTTTTGGGAATCCAAAACCCTACCCAGGCCCCAAAACAATTTATTATCAGGAGGGATGGGTGATCTAGAGGCCCAAGAGTATCCACCGCGGTATAGATTATTCATATATGTTTCTATAAATCTCTTATATATATACCAGCGACGCCAATTTGCAACAAGAGCAAAAGATTAAAATGTAAAGACAGATGACACCACATAGATTTACATTTGTGTTATCATTCACTAGCTCACGGTTCATAGCAACGTGATGCTTTGGGTTACATTGTTATCTCCATATGATGTCTTTTATCTCTCACCCTCCCAATTAGTCCAATGGTATACAGCACATTTAAATCAATCTCTTTAATTTCATCACTCGTTCCTCACAACTTATTTATGCCCGCCACATCAACTTACATAACCCAGATCACTATTCATATCCCCAGTAACTCTACATTACCAGAGACCCAACCAGATACCCACAATGAGCCCACAGTTGTATATGCCCGACGTGGAAATAAAAAACCTGAGTATCATTTTATTATGGACGTGGCCAGATATTCACTGCCATTAAAATTAACGTACCAGAACTTGGCCCTGTAACAGTATAGGTGTGGGGGTCCGGAGTGTTTTACTGCTGTATTCCCGTGTATCTGGTTAAGAGATAGAGACAGTTAAGTGAGAAATTTGAGGATATTCTGGAGAGATTTGAGAATGCGAGTGGATTACATCATAGCACTAACCCGGAAGAATTGTCACTGTATACTGAGTAGCACCTTATTATGTACAAGGGATTTCCTACCTCAGGTTGGAGGAATCACACAAAGCGTCTTGCGTT